TTTTTTTTTTTTTTTTTTTTTTTTTTTTTTTTTTTTTTTTTTTTTTTTTTTCCCTTTCGTTTAAGGAAATATATTTGTGGGTTGAGGGTACGTTTTTATAAACAAATGTAAGTTTTAGTATGGTTATTATATTAACTTAATTTTTTTTTTCTTTTTGAAGTTTCCTTGGAGACAGATTCCTATCTTGCCCGTGCAGTGGCATGCATTATGTCTGGGCCTCTTTGCATCGATTATCGCACCTTTCGGTGGCTTTTTCGCCAGTGGCTTTAAAAGGGCATTCAAGATCAAGGTTTTCTTGCCTAACTGTTTTTGTATTGCAAGTTTGCATGATTTTGACGTTCTTATGTCTGGAAACGTTCATTTTTTGGTTTGTCCAGGATTTTGGAGATAGCATTCCTGGACATGGTGGGATTACTGACAGAATGGATTGCCAGGTACTATGTGTGTGTGTGTGTGTGTGTGTGTGTGTGTGGTGTATACATTATATAAAATAATTACTGAACTATTCCTAAGGTTCAGCGAAATTACGAAAGCTAACCCAGTTATGAGGGGCTGTGTTGTAGTAATTTGTTGGTTTGTTGGTTGAGCAGCCTGTACGTAAACGAGCCAATTATTATTTTTTTGACTTATTTATGAAAATATCTGTGCCTATTTGCACAGTGTGCCTATTGAAGGGAGTATCTAACAAACAAAAACCTGGATGTGTAATTCCAGGAAATAAAAGAAGCAGAGAAAATGAACCTTCTGTGATTATTCAGAATGTCAGGGGTAGTTTTTGTCATTAATCATAGTAGTTTATCTTCTTAAAATTTACGTTTATGTTTTCACCATGAAATGTGCAGATGGTGATGGCTGTGTTTGCGTATATTTACCATCAGTCGTTCGTTGTAGCACAGAGTTTGTCGATCGAGATGATTATGGAGCAGGTTTTTATTATATTATAGATATTAGCCGTGATCAGTTATTACTTGTTACGAATCTCGTCTACTTACTTACATCTTTACTCGGAAAATTTTGCATGTGGCTTAGATACTGATAAACCTCCCGTTTGAGGAGCAGAGAGCTGTGTACACAAAACTCGGGCAGATTATCATGGAAAGGCAGTTCGGGGAATCCTGAATTCAGACAACTTGTCATGTTTTATTGAATCCTACCTTAAGCATCTTGTAGTTTGTTTGTCTTTGAAATCTAGTCTTTGTACATGATTATTTTTGGGCCTCCATATTATTATACTCGTAATGAGAAGGTCGCTGCTGAAAACCAACGTCTTTTTATGTTGTACAGTGATTTTGCCTTAATGTGATGGTGTTTAGATACAAGTGCTGAAGTTTGGTTGACTTTTTTTTTTTCTGATTTATTTTTTTACTATTATATCGCACATGAACTATACGAAATTAATGAAATTTCTCACATATACAACTTAGAATTATTTTCTCATCCACCTTAATATTGTTCTGAGAATTTTTTAAGTCTGTTACTTACAAAAAATTGAACCGCTAAATCGGTATAAAACCAATTTTTCTTACAATCTCTCGCATGAATGAAATTAATGCATGTATGCAAGAGTTGAGAGTCCTGGCTAACAGATCCATCAGGATAGATAGTTTGTGGCTTTCAATCTTTCTTAGTGACATACTATCAGATACACTAACCAATTAGTAACATCTTTGATGGAGATACCTCGTTGTAGTAGGAGGGTTGCTAAGGCAGCCACATAGATTTGTGTTGATGAGAGACTCTTTGGACTCTGTCTTTGGCATACACGAAACTATGGATTCATATTCATGAGAAAGTTTGTGGACTTAGTCTCTAGTGAATGTGAAATAAATCTATAGTTATATAATGAGGTGATCGTTGTAGTGAGAGCGTTGCTAAATGACTGCCATAGATTCGTGATTAGATAGAATTTTTGGACTAGTCTATGCTAAACACGGAACTATGAATTCATGTTCTTGAGAAAAGTATTTGTACTTTGTCTCTTGTGAACGTGAAATAAATCCCTGTTTATACAATGAGACACTCCGAGACGAGGATGCAGAAACTTAGCAAATTGCAATGTCTTCTGATTTAGAGTCTTGGACTCTAATCTGATCTGGGCTCTTCTAGAACCACCTACATTGTACAAAATGGATCTAAAAGTAAAACTATGTAAACTTCAAAGTAAGACTTGTTGTGAAATAGTAAATTCGAAAAGAAATGGGTTTGTTATGAGTTAACTTTTTCACTGGTAGTCATTAGTATATTTAAATTTTTGGTCGTGGCTATGACAATTGATATCGTGGATTCAAGACAAGGTCTTGTGGGAATATCCGTGGAGCAGCACCCAGAAAGGTTCATTGTAGATTGCTAAGAGCATCTAGTTTATAAACTAAAATGGTCCATTTGTGGACTGAAGTAAGTTTTGTTTTTTGATACATTTGCTTGATAAATCAAGTATGTGGATTTGATTAGTCTTCAAATGAGAATTGTGTGTATAAGAAGTGCAGTGGCATTTTTGTACTGTGCGCATATGGCAGCCGATTACTAGAAATAGCGTAAGGATATGAGCTCTAAAGCGTGTCAGGAGTGGAGCAACTTTGTGCAAATATGAATTCAGGCCCACGTGAGCTGATGAATCAAGAAAGACTCAATATTAACTCAATGGATCGAAAATGATCGAATTAGTTTTTGGACTCATGACCCAACCCATATCCAATCGGGCCCTATGAGTTTTTTTTTTTTTTT